AGACCTACGGGAGACCTCAGGTCTCCGATTAGCAAACACTTTTTTGTTTCTCATAATTTTGCTTTCCTTACATCAAATACTTTTTGAGCACCCTTGATCCAACTTATAGCACAATACCAGATGAAGCACCTCCTCTCTTCTTTAATAGGGCCCTAAGTCGTTTTAACTTGATGAAAAAAACGCGCTCTATTCAAACAGCACTGCAGTACTTGTTCTGCACGCGTTTGTACAGTTTTCAAATGGGTTTTTCATAATTTCCTCAAGTAGGTATTCGTTCTCGTAAGGTTCTATCGGAGACCTCGTGCCGAGGCCTGATCTGACTAAACTTTATTCTTTGGTCCTTTGCATAAAGTTGTAATATTCTTGTTGACATGTTTGATTCTGACAGTTAACCTCGGCTTATCGTCAATATAGATAGAACATGAAAAATTCCCATTTTGGGTGCCGCATCGAGGTGCAGCAAGTTCAACCTCTATAACAATTCGTAGCACTAAAGCTTTCTCCTCTCTTTAAAGCATATTGCATTCGTGATGAGTGCATAGACATTGTGTTACATGGAGATCCTGATTTTTTGCCTCAGTTGAAGTCGCCAAGCGTTTTCAAGATGTAGTCTGCTAAAAAGATATTGCAAAGGCTAGTTTAGTGCACCTGCGACGATTTAATATCAAATTTCTACTCAATGGTGGAATTAGCAGAAGGCACTCTGCCATGGACGCGGTTACGAGACGCTGAAGATATTGCGAGAAGGAAGCGGAATATCTCATTTGAAGAGTTATGCCCGTCCGTTAAGTTCGCTAGTTAATTCGTTTTGTGAACGTAGCAGGCTAACGTGATTAGTATAGGCGAGGTTGTAGGTTCAGCGGTATGTCAACGGAATTGCAGGAGTACTACACATACTGCTATGACAGTGTGGAAGATCCGAATCAGCCCAATTACGATTATCTCAAAGATATCATTAAGGTGATATTGGCACTCTTGAACGGATTATTTAACAACTTAGTTTTGTTTCTAGAAATCTTTACCACCCAACTTTGACTTCAATACGCCGATGCCTTGGGAACTCAAACCACAAGAGAATACGAACACCGCAACACAGGAAACGATCCCGTCCAACGAGCAACACATGACTTAGAGTCGAATGCATTTTGAGCTAATTTAAAGCAATTCAAGTTTTAACTGTAGTCATCAACGTATACAGAAAGTGCAAAGGGCTTCTTATCCTTTTGCATTAATAAAGATTGACAGTTTTGCTCTGTGTATTGTATTGTATTGGTGTTTTTGCCAATTTATATTATTTTTTTTCACTAGAGAAACAGTAAATAGGAGAATTAAGATGTCAGCAAATGATCGCAGTAATTTATGCTCAACGCTTTATTGCGAGTTGCTCAAGTTGTTTACAGCATAGTTTACAAAATCGAAGATAATTGCAGAAGAAAGTGATTTAAGTAAAGCAAAGAGCTCAATTTTATCCTTGAGCCAGCTACAGTCCGAAATATCATCAAGATTAGAGAGTTATGTTCTCTCTTGCTAGGCTCTAACCGCTAGGGCACTAACCATATAGGTTTACCTGTCAACTTCATTATGACCAAAAAAGTAACACAATTCTACGACATGACGATAATTCTACATTCGAGAGTATTTCATATCGGGGCTTCTTAAAAACAGAAGACAAAGGCTCAATTCAAATGTTTTATTAAGATCAATAACAACCAAGACCAATATATCTAAGTTTATGAAGCAATGTCTGCTAGAATTCAATGCGAATCCAGTAGGCCCATACATTAAGGTAAAAGGACTATCTCGACAAAAGAGTCTAACGAGTGGAGCAACAATCAATTATAATCGAACACAGTAAAATCTCATGTTATAAGGGATCCTAAACAAAAGAATAATCCGGCACGACATAGACTGAAAACACCTAAATTGAGTTTGGACGAACTACTCAAATAAGCCGATGTTAGAGATAGCACATAAATATAAAAACATT